TAATAATAATAATAATAATAAAAAAAAAGAATTACTGATCCCAAATGTGGTTGTTAAGTGGATATTACCATATCTATAGAAAACTTGATTGCTTCTGATACAGTGAGACACAAATAACCTGTTTCCCCGATAATAAGACCTCCCTGGATAATAAGCCCAATCGGGTTTTTGAGTGCATGCACTAAAATAAGCCCTCCCCCAAAAATAACCCCTCCCCAAAAATATTGCAACACAGCCATGAGGTGACCACAACCGTCACCTCCTGCACCTCAAAAATAATAAGACCTCCCCGAAAATAAGGCCAAGTGCTTATTTTGGGAGTCAAAAGAAAATAAGGCCCTGTCTTACTTTCATGGAAACACAGTGCCTTTGTATGCTTTATCTGTTCTGTGCACATAAAACAAATACACAGAGGGTTCTACCCTCCTCTCTCTCCCATCTGTATTTTAAACATGCACTGACATTTCAGCAGTTTTTTGATGGATTCACACAGTGCAGAACTCTGCTGCTTGAAAGTACTCATGATAAGATACCACTAGGAGTGAAAAGATAAAGACTTGGACTGAAGCAGCAGGGCATCAAGTTCACAGACTAAAGTAACTTGAATTTGAAATGTCTTAAGTTTGAAATGAATAGTTCCACTCCTCAGAAATGTTCTGAGCTTCAAATGACTCCATTTAAAATTGATATGGCATTCTAAGCCCAAAACAGGATCTTTTCAAGCTCAGAATACTTCTGGTGTAATTCGGGAAGACTGCCACCAAGGTTGGAACAACCCTATTTAGAACTCGAAACAGCCATTTTAGAATCAAAGGCTTTTCACACCTCTATCATAAATTCTTTGGAGTATAACTATTTGATTTAGACTGTACAATAAAATAGAGGCTTCCATCTGTATTCACCAATTTACAATAATCTTTGCATCTGGGCAACTCCTTTTGATTTCTGTGGAGTTCATTCTTCTTCTGTGCTTATTTAGAACACTCATCCCATCATGGGGTATGTTAAGTTGCAATTCTGGATGAAATATCTTCTTCCAACGAGCACTGATATTGATTTTGGGTATCTTCATTTCCTTATTAGGCTAAAGAGTAATTCTTCCATCAAAGCATCTTCCTCCTCCAAAACTGAAAGCAATTAACACTGGAAGGCTCTCCAAAACAGCCAACTTAGTGGCAACTAAAAGCTTCAGAAGACTGACGCATCTGCTTAAATTTTTATTCCAATCTAATACTAGCTCCATATTTTACACAGAAAACTAGCTGAAGCATATGCTTCAGTTCATATTAGGTTTATTAATAAGCATAAGGATCAAAGTAGTAAAATCTACCTACCATTCTGGATTCAAGATTTCAATCTTGTCAAGTTCTTGCATTTTCTTCCACCTAATGTTAAAACAAAGTATTACCATCATGAAAGGGAACAACTTTTTAAATGCACAGACATAAACCAGTTAGTTACATCAGTGTTTCTCAACCTTGGCAACTTGAAGATGTCTGGACTTCAAGTCCCAGAATTCCCCAGCCAGCGAATGC